TCCTCCTCCTCCTCCTCCTCCTCCTCCTCCTCTTCTTCCTCGGGCTCGAGAAGGCCGGCCCAGTCGGTTTGCACCGCGGTGGAGACAAGATTGGAGGATGGATCGTCGGTGTGTTCCCCTCGTTTGTTCGGTGGTTGTTCGGACCTGTGGCCGTGCGCCGGCTGTCGCCGCAGCACCTCCACGATGATCGGTTCTTGGGCCGACTGGAAACAACGCACCGCGTCCTCGTGGCTCGAGTTCGACACGTCCTGACCGTTCACCTGTAACCAGCGAGTTGAGGTCTGGTGAAGCGGACCGCGACGCATATATTGGCCAACCGAACGAAGAAGAAACGTTCCTCTTCAAGAGTCGGGTTGTTTTTATAAACGCGGCGTGGCACGACCCGGCTCGGCTCGGCGACCAGGTCAATTGAGGAGAGTGCAAACGGAAGCGAGAGCTCTCTTCTTTCGTCTAGAGAAAGGAGAGGGAGGCGTTTAAATGCAAGAGACAGCGGCGGACGGTTCTTTGACGATTCTAGGACGAACTTTCTGTACGATCCATTAACGGAATTACAGATATTCATCGCGTCCTTGTTTCCGTCGGTTTCGAGTGTGTAACGAGAATCGTTAAGCTATTTACAGTTTGAAGCGGCTGCGGCGGTCGTTTTACGCGAAACTAAGAGGGCTGAAACGCTGTCTCGACTTTTCCACACCGACAGAGCCCGATCATCGGCCTGTGCACACTGGTAAAAAGGTATTCGTTCTCGGGTTAGGTTGGCAAACGCGAGCAGTAATTAAAAGACGCTCTATCGATAGCGGCTTTCCTCGCGGGAGACCGAGGTGACGGACGGAAATGTATCGGTCAGGTCATCCTCCTCGTCGTCTACATCCTTTGAAAAGTAGTCGACGACGAAGCGCGACGCGTGAAACGCAACCACGAGCGAGCGAGGGAGCGAGCGAACGTTCGTTCGTTAATTCGTTCCATTAGTCGCGGTCTCTCCTCCGTCTTGGTCGCGGCAATTTCCAGGTAAACAAGGCGCTATCCAGCCAAGAATTATCGCGACTCGGCGGCGCCGCGAGCGGTTGCGAATCGCCAATTTATTTCGCGCGATACGTCCCGAGAGTGGGACGGGGGAAATTCGTTTGGCTCCGCGCGAGGTTCGGAAGGGAAACGGTGAGAGAAGGTAAGGGGATAAGAGAGAAGGCGAACGGTGGGGTGAGAGAAGGCAGGCATTTCTGCTGGCAAAGCGCGGATTGTGAGGCAGCCGGCAAGGGACGCGCAGGGAGAAGGAATCGCGTACAAGGAAGAAAAAAGGGAGCCGTCAAGCTGTCGCTCGCGTTCCGTAAACACGGAAGTCTGAAGTGCTCGGGCTTTGAACACCGACGACTACCGAACGACGACGACTACGAGAGCACGACGACGACGACGATCGCAATTATCGTCGTGACTGAGATGGCCGGAAAACGCGTGCTCGTTTAAGTTTCACCCACATGTAGAGGAAATTTGAACGGGCGACAACGAACCGAGCAGGCACGGCACGCGCTCGTTTCGACGCACCGGAGGGGCTTCTCTCTCTGGCATCATCTCGGCTGCCGAGGATAATGCTTCCTCGATAAAGATCCACCGAAACGCAGTTCGGATTCGCTCGTAAATTATACCGGCGAAACTTTCAAAGTGTCTCCAGTCCCAAAGTTGGAGCCGCGACGCGAAACTCGTGCTGTTGAAAGGGCAACGCCGCGATAATCGCTTTCTGGCGATATCGCAGGTAACTAATTCGCTTCCACCTTATCTCCCGCACCGCCACTCGAAACTCGTCCGCGATGCGATGGAAATTTCGGGATCTACAGATTGCCCAACCTAACGATCGTCCCCCGACCTCCTACTTTTCTCCGATTCGGTCGAATCGCGTGAAAATGCCGTTGCGCATTTTCGACGAGTGGCAGGCAAGAAACGGTGTTCGCTCGGAATCGCAGACAACAACCGGGGTATTAAAGAGGGAATCGAACCTCTTCATCTGCCAATTAAAAACGCTATCCGACGCGACGGTCCGTTTACGGCGGTCCGCGACTCCTTGCAGTTTACGAAACTCGCGTACCAAGCGAGCAATAACTCGGAGCAAATCGACCAACCCATTATCCAACTATCGACAGCAATGTCATCGCGATCGCGCTCGTTTCTACATGCTTTTATGCGTTGCTTTTGCCGGTAGTGCAGGCTTATTAGTGCACGGCTAAATGCACGGTTCGGTGAGCTTTCGCGATCGATACGTCGATTCTTCGAATAGAAAGACCGCGATAAATCCGCTGATGCTCCCGATAGGGTAGAGGGATAGAGAGGGAAGATGAAAATAGCCGCGCCCACGGCGAAAGACGAGTGAGAAAATTGAACGAGGAGGGAAACGCGTGCTCGCGTAGTATAGGCCGAGAACCATGAAAACGTCGACGGATCGCGCTCGTCTATGCGCCAGCAGCTCGACTCCACTCCCGGATTAACGGAAAATCTCCCGTTGCTCTTGCCTCCTTCCTCCTCTCCTGGGCTTTACCCTGGCCGGTCGCGGCAGGCTTCGTCGAAACGAGGCGAGACGAGACAAGAATTCGCTTTTCGTCCTCGTCTCCCCCCTTCTCCACGGCAAATAATAACCTCTCCCTTTTTTCCGTGCCACGAGCCAAGTGGCTCTTCTTCCAAAGGGCTCGTTACACCCTGTTTCGTTCGAATCTTAACCTTTTACCGCTACCTTAGAGCGAGGAGCCGCTCCTATCCCGGTCTTCGCTGCTTTCGCGCCTTCTCTCCCTCCTCCTACTATCATCTCTAACGCCTATACGAAAATTGACACTTCCAATCCATCTGGTTATCTGGAAACCTCGTAACGAGATTCCACGTGTATTTCGAGCCCCACAAACCTATCCTCGACGCATGTTCCGCCGCCGCCACAGCCGCCACAGCCGCCACAGCCGTCACAGGCGGAAAAGAGGAAGGGTGAGATCGGTCGATAAGTTATTCGCGGCCACGATTTTCCCGCGACTCGCGAAAACCCGGGACCGTACCTTTACGGTCGCCGTTTTTTTCTCGAGTCACCAAGCGGATAACTTTGCTTTTCCGCTCGACCATCCGTGCCGAGCCGATCGGCCGAGTCACTGGCTATCCTGGACGCGTGAACGAACACTCGACACAGACCCGTCCAGAGGATACGCGGGGGTCCATCCCATCCGCCGAGGAAACGCGACTAACTGGAGCCCTGCCAGCTCTTGCTTCTCGATTAATTTATTCCGTCTGGAGCGCGCCTACTTCCTCCCTCACTCTTTTCGTTCGCTTCAGTTGCCGTTCGTTGCGCGTCTTCCACGCGCTCCTTCTGACCCTTCCGCAGAATTTTCATTCGAAATCCCCAATCCGATACCAGCCGACGAGTTCAATATCGCGTTTCCGTGATTGCAAGTTAAACGCGATTAAGGACTCTATTACGGTCTCGTTGCTCGTACTGGAACGGTAGGAGAGAACAAGCACTGGCAATCTCCGCGTGGAAAATTCGTTCCGATGCCACGCTAATAGCTGCTGGACACTGGCTTCGCGAAACGACGAATCGGCCGTCACTCGGGGAGACATTTTTGCCAAGAGACTTGGAGGAATCGACCGTGAACGGGACACCTCGACGCGCTTTTGCTCCATCGGAAACTGTTCGGGTTTTACGGAACGTTGCTCGATATGGGAAAAGTGCGTTCGCGTTATCGAGCTTCGCGACCCACGGGGAAACGTGGAGGAAGGAAGGCAGGAGGGAGGAAAGCGCGACCAGCCAGCCAGCCAGCCAGCCAGCCAGCCAGTCAGCCACCGAGACCGCTTCGAAGGGAGAAGAGCAAGAATTTCTTACTAATAGGGTTGTTAGCGCCACTTCGCATAAATATTCTCGCTTAGCGAACAACCGAGAGAGAAGGAAAGAGTCCACGGCTCACGCTTTACCGTCCCCTGCGGCAACCGAGCCTTTCCTCTTTTCTCCCTCTCCTACCCTTTCCGCCCTTTTTTTTTTTTACCACCACCTTCTCCTTTTTCTTCTACTCCTTCGCTTGGCCACCTTCTCCTTTTCCTTTCCTTTTACCTCCCTTCTCGCGAGCTCTCCGAGCGCGCGCACCCAACACCACCAACCCAATTCCTTTGGTCGATTAAACCGAGAGAGCTAAAAACTAGTTCCGACAATAGATCTTCTACGATAGATCGGGAGCAATGATCCGGAAACCGAAGGAAATGAACTTTTCCTGCCATCTATCAACCGATCAAAAGGTGGCAGCTAGACAGACGAGCTGGGGGGAGGAGAAAGACACGAAGACGGAACGGAAGGGTAGGATAGCCGACGCGGGCCGGTTCGGACCTCGTCACGTTCGTCGATGGAGGAAAGAAATATCGGGATAATTAGGTTCTCCTCTCGGTGCTAGTTCGGCATCACGAGGATCTAAATTACATTATTTAGGAAAGCGATTTCCAAGACTCTCGAACAAACGATTCCTCCACATAGGCAATGGGAAGGATCGTTGGACAAAGGCAAGAGAAGAGGCGTCGTCCATTTTTACGAATGGCAACGGCCGCTCGACCATCCAGGCACGATACAATTTCGTTGAAACGCGCGCGGCCCGTCCCGATCGCTTCGCGCTATCGACCATTGTTCGCGCCCTTCGAAAATCCATCGAACCCCGCCAGAAGTCTGTCCGCTCTATTCGCTCTTTTCACGCACGCACAGGTCGATCGTTATCGTCGACTCGCGCCTCCTTTACGGTCCACCGTTGTTGCTCGACGAATACCCCAACGACTCACCCGCCCCGTCCTTTTCTTCCCTCGAAACGCATCCGAGTTACCAACCATGTAACCTCCTCTACTTCTTCCGATAAGGATAATCGTCGTCGGCCAAGAAGCGACCATTGTCCTGTTTGGCCGCGTTCTCCCACCAGAACTCCCGCCAGCCTCACCCCTAGCCCCGCAACCCCCCTCTCGTCCCTTGCTCGCACCTTTCATCGCTTCGCATTCGCCGTGCTCTTTCTTTCTTCTCATCGATCGCCATTCAAACCTTTGCACGACGAAAGCGTAATTAGCGGCAACCCAAACCGACCATCTACGCTCCAAATCGTACAGCCGTCGCCGTTCCCGCTTTCTATAACGTGCAAATCCGTCTGCAACAATTTTCTTGGACGCCGCGCGACCAAACGTCGAGATCCAATCGATCATCCTTTCCCACGCGTTTACTTCGATAATTGGTGACGCGAACGAGCTGCACCCCCGACTAATTGCCGAGTCTACCTAC